GTGATTACAATCTATAGCCAAAATACAAAAGTGTCTACATCACATCACTGTTTACGGTAGATTGGTAGCCAGGCACCATGAATGAAGCTATCACCAAGTGTGAATTAGGAAGGCTGGGTAGGCCCCACCGAGGAGGAACGACCAGCGCTCCGCGGCAACACCACCTGTTGTGCCTCAACTAGCTTACGCACCCCGGCAAGCTCATTCCGCAAAGTATCACATAGATCAACACTCCCCAAAGGTATAATATCCTCAGCGTACCTGAGAACGCACAGCCACGCAGCAGATTCGGACTCCGCCGCTTGCCAACAGCACGGCAATTGCCACGCCCAACTCAAACCCGCTTCAAACCGGGAAGAATGTGGGACAGGTGTAAGCAAGGATGCTCCTCCACCAAGGAGACACGCATCATCATCCAGTCTCAACAAGACGTCAAAAATACCGCGTCCAGACTCTCGGGCACACACCCGAAACCAGGTTCTTGGCCCCAACAAGTCGCACAGCTCGTTGTACAAGCAAAGGGGCGACACTGTAGTCGATGACACCCATCGAAGTAGAAACCAACGACGGCACCACTGCCGATGTCTCACTGGAATACACAACACATGCTTACAGCAAGAAGAGCACCCAGTGCCTCCAGACTCCAACCGAGTCTGCCAAGCAGCTTGTGCAGACTTCAAGCCAACATGGCGCGTACCTCCGGCGCTGTCAACAACGGAGTCGTGCATTGCACTCCTCACCGTGACCTTCTCAGGATCTGCTTACGCAGTTCAAGTTAGCTTAGAGCCTTTCATTTCCAATGAAGTGATCCATGGGTCAAATGACCCTCCCAAAACGGAGAGCACTCACGTGCAAGCACCACCGTGTTGCCATCACAACAACGACGACCGTCCGCACCCAGCTGCCGGATTTCCCAGAAGGGCGCCTCTGCGCCATGATAAACAATACAGAATATTAACTCACCCTCGTTCGTTCACCAAGTGTCTCCCGGATGGTCGTTCAATCGTTCGCAGTCAACCCTCAAGGTTGCACATCGTCTCCTCGGATGGCAGAATGCACCTCCGTTGCTGTCTTCCAAAAGACAAAAAGTAAAAATACAAGTTCAAGTTTGTTCTCGACAAAAGAAGAAAAGTCCTTTATCCTTTTCACACTCAGTGTTGTGACCACGTCACGTGGAAGGCGGCTGCGGGTTGACTCCACCCTCGCTTGTCGCATGCATGCAGACCAGCTGCAAACATGCAACGACCACCAATCGTCCTCTGGCCTCTCCGGTGTTACTGACCAATGCTTCCGGCCAGCCTATCGCATTGAATGACTCAGCCTCCGTTGAAACTCCGGCTGTTACGGACGTAGGGAATGACCCCGCCTACCGTTGGCAGTCGTGGTTCCATGGTTCCATGGTTCCCCTTATAACCAAACATAC